AAACAGAAATACACATGACTTTTGAAATAAGACATTATTTATTCTTGCTTTAATAAGAGACATTGAAACATCCAACACATGGAGTGTTATGTTCTGTGAGCCAAACTGTTTCCTACACCTAGCATTGCTTTCAACAGAAATTTTGAAGAGTCAGCTCAGCTGTAAAATGAATATCGCAGTTAAGCTGGCCATTCACCTTACAATTATCCTTCGATTTCTTTCATCGAACCGTCATCCGTGTTCCACTCGAATACTCCATCATGCACAGACCAATGGGGTTTTCGATTATCGTTCACTTGCAATACTAACTGACCGAATTTCGTCGCTCGACAGAACGGATTTTCGTTTGCGCATATCCACTGTTTGTGTTGCGATTTTTTTTTTTGTACGAAAGTGCCACTAATCCATCGATTTTCGTACAATTCAAAAAAACGTTTTTAGCCTGGCCGATAGATGGAATTCGTCCAGTTGTAGAGTAATACTGATCGTTCACTTCCCATCAACTGGCCGATTATCGTACGAAAACCTGATCTCATTCGGAAATCAAACGATAATCGCAAGGTGTATGGGCACGTTTAGATTTGGGTGGCCACAGTTTTTTCATATCACTTATCACAAAATATATGATGCCAATAATTCCCCTAGAGTCATAACTGTCTCCCTTCTTCAACAAGGGGAATTATGTAAGTGTCACTCTTGCAAATAGATTCCTTCTATTTTTTGGATTTTGGAGAATCCATTATTCTGTGGAGTATAACACCATTGTATGACTTTACAGAAATCACTGGAGCCGCAGCAGCAATGCAGAATTAAAATACCAGCTTTGAGTGAAAATGTGCAAAGTTAGACACAAGACTATCTATTGTATACATGACCTTGTAAAGTGCTTTGTGGTATAATGAATATTTTTTTCCTTCTCAGGAATGCGAGGACGGGGTAAATTAATACGTGGACGTGGAAGAGGCATGATGAGAGGACGGGGAGTTTACAGGGGGAGAGGTAGAGGAAGAGGATTTTCTGGGGAAGAGCAAGAGGATGATGAGCCGTATGAGGAAGAGATGGAGGTACTTGTGTTTTTGCATATTTCAGTAAATGCCTAGTTGTTGCACCGATCGCTAGACATACCACTCTGTTAATCACATCAGCTGCTATTTTTGAAAAATGGTTATGTTATTCTTTGGAGATAATATCCCTTTTTCACATATTAATGCTTTCCTTTTTATTACGCAGTATGGTGATGAGGAAATGATGGGAGATGAAGAATATGATGATTACTCAAAAGAGCTGAACCAGTATCGCAAGTCTAAGGGAGGCAGAGGTCAGTTTATTCTTCCATCCAGAGAGGTTAATAAAATATATATATGAAGAATATGGATTTACTCTCACTTGTCTCTCTTCCTTTAAGTGTTTCATAGGGGCCGTGGCCGGGGTCTCCGTGGCAGGGGGTTTAAACCCATGGGTCGAGGGCGAGGCAGAGGGAAAAATGATGATGATGAATACTATGAGGAAGACGGAGTAAGTTATCAAAACTGTTTCAACATATTTCTAGTTCACAGTATAGCGAGCTATATATACTGTACTGTGCCCCTATTAAAATTTAAGGTCAAAGTTGAAATGTAATTTTGATGGTGGAAGGCCCAGAACCAGCTTTCTTAAAGGGAAAGTGTAGTTTATTTCCAGTAAACATATACTTTGATTTCTTGATGCGGTGTTAACGTTACAGCATTTTTTAGTGGCGTTGACATTTTTACATGCGTACTCTTACATGTTCTGTTTTTGTATTAAAACTGGAAAATTGTAGATATCCACTAGAGGCAGAGTAAATTAGCTACCACAAGGACTCCACCAAGCAAAGTAGCAATTGTTGAGATCAATTAACAGCCACAAAGTGTGACCATTGTTTTCACTGAGTTACCTGACACACACTTGCATTATGAGAAGGCGTTGCGAAGCACAGTCATTGTATAGCACTACAAAGCAGGGCCGACACATATAATAACCAAATATGGCTGCACCCATTTTAATATGTCATTATAAACGCTTCATAAAACCAACCCTATAAAACATTATAGATCAGTATATTTGATCACTCTACTGATAACTCTACTTTTTATTTAACCTCTTAGTGACGAGAGACATACACTGTACATCCCTGCCACTAAGTGCCCAAATGACTGCTCACGTACACTGTATGTGAGCAGCTATATTGGGCCCTGTAATGCCGGTAACCGCTGAGATCAACGGTTTCCGTTCATTAAAGGAGAACTATGGGGTCAGTGTTTTTCCCCATAGTTCTCCTTAGGGTAATGGGAGGACACAAACTAGCGTCCTCCCGTTACCCTAAGCTCAGTATACCGCGAGCTACAGCTCGAGGTATACTGAGACGCCGGAGCGGATCCCGACCTGGACGTCGGGATCCGCCCAGCTGCGTGAGTGACAGCTGGCTCTGCCTATCTAGAGGCAGAGCCAGCTGTACCTGCCCCCTCCCCCGTCCGTTCTGCCAGTCAGCGCTGGCAGATCGGAGAGGGGAATCCAGCCCCTGTGTTCGCTCACCTCCCGATCTACTGAGCCGACCTGTGACAGTCTCATTGTCACAGGTCGGCTAGAACTATGAGGTGAGTGGAAATCACTCATCTCATAGTTCTCCTTTAATGGATACCTCAGTACTGAGGCATCCATTAATGAAAGATTTAAGCTTTTACAGACACCCGATCCCTTTTAGGAATCGGATGTCTGACAGTGATAGCAGTGAGGTATTTACTACACTTGCTGTCACTATTAAACAGATGTACACACCTGTATTTGGAAATTCCGATGTGTACCGGCTTTTTGCTAAATGTTTCAGCATAGAAACATTTAGCTGCATGTTTCTATGCTGAAACAATGCTTAAGCCTTCCGGTCATTCTGAGGCTTTAGTGACACTGAGCCTGATATTCTGCACAATCAGCATGTCAGAATTAGTGTCACGAAGGTTAATATTGGCTGTTTCTAAGTTTGGAACAGCCTAACAATAACCAAAAATTAATGAAATTATCAAGCAGTCATACACTTAGTGGCATTGTATGCCAGGTGCCCACTATTAGTGGGATTTTTTTTTTTAAATGCTAGATTTTAGTTTTAAGTACAGAAAAATGTCTGAAATCCTAGGGATGTGAGGTGTTTCTACATACACGACAAATAAATGCATTTTTTTTAATGCATTTTTTTTTTTAGCTGTGCTATTTTTCTAAAAAAATTATAATTAAAACTAGTGGAAAAAGTGTTTTCTTTCTCATTGTTGTAATATTTTATTTATCCTAAGTGAGGCGTTAGGCACACATATGTGATATAAATATATAGCTCTATCTGTCCTCTAAAAAACAATATATAATGCAGTATGTGTAAGTGCACTTTGTAAGAAAGTATATTACTGCCGTGGAAGAATCACACAGCAAAAATGTAAAAAGTGCATCAGTCATTAACAAACAGAATCTAAAAACAAGCTCAGTTATGAAGGGGTTAAAGCATGAATTTGTTTCTGACATGTCGCAATATACAGCAACGGCCCCAATGAAAAAAATAATTTTATCATTACAGTCAAGTGATTGTGCCCAAGCTTGATAGGAACATCTTGGGAGAATGATGTCAGCAGTCTATGCAACGTGTTGGGTTTCCATCCATCATGTTTGTTTATGATTAGGGGTTCAGAAGATAGTGAAGCCAAGTTCATGATGACAGTCCTGGTGCCTGTAATTTAAAAAAAAACAGGCATCACTCATACTTCTGTCCTCACAGGACCCCTTTTTAAAGCAACATCACAATACACAGCAACAGTATAATTTGTCTTAAAAAAAAAAAGCGGTTTCATTTATCCTTAAAAACAGCTTTTCATCTACAGTTAAGAGATTGCCTGGGTGAGATGATGTCATCAGTCTTCTGAAGGCAAGTGGATGAAATGTATCAATCTCTCCCCCAGCGATCAGATTATAATACTGGCTATACACTTTTCTTTATTTATTTTTTTCCGTTCAGACCCGTGGACTGAGTGAGAAAAAATACTTGGTTTCCCCATCCACCCGCTGGGCTACTGTATTCTGACAGCAGCGGGTGTTCCGATGTCAGAATATCCAAACAGTGACTTCCGCTGATTTGTCTGCAGTTACTGTTTGGCTGACAATTTTCAGACCAGCTCCTTCAACAAAAGTCTGTTGAAAAAACAGAGGGTGCCGATGGGGCCACACACTGACTCTGCCAAAATGCAAGCAGTGTATGGCCAGCTTCCTTTGCAGCAAGTCCCTACAGATACTTGCTCTTCTATATTTTTGATACTTCAAACATCAACATTTAAAAAAAAATGTAGAAAATTGTAGTCCTGCTTCAGGTTAACATGCTATAAAAGTGAAGGGGTAGCACAGAGTTTACAAACGCTCTTTACTAGTTTTTACAACATCATAGGTAGAGAAACCTCCAAAACATCACTGTCATGTTATATGGAAGTAATGGTTAACCCTTTCGCTGCCAAGCCCTCCGGAACATTTTTCAAATCAGCTGGCCAAGCCATTAAGGTTAATTGGTAGAACCAAGATGGCGGAATGCAAGTTTACACAGTGACATCTTTTCACATTAACATGTTCTGATGTTCCTCATTGTTGCGCAGGATGGAGGAACGTACCGAAATGACTATGAGAAGCCTTACCGTCGAGCAGACAAGAAAGGGAAAGTCATCTGCAGATATTTTGTGGAAGGTCGTTGTACCTGGGTAAGCATAGAGTCTGTTAACTTTTCGGTTTCTGGCTTGTTTTTTTTAAAGCATTTCTATGCCAAATTTTTTTTAGACTGCAAAGGTAATGACTTGGTGTACTTTAAATGGTTATTAAACCCTCGCATGTTTTTGCATATATCTACTGCTAGCAAGCAGTAGATATATGCAAAAACATTTTTTTAAAAACCCTTTTAAAAAAGGGTTTTAACTCACCTGTGTCTTCGCCGCACGCTCCCGAACAAACATCTGAAGAGTCTCCGGCAGCCGCAAAGGATCTTGGGGTGGGCACATAAGCACTTCAGATGTCACGTTAATTAGACAACAATGTGTGCTGCTGCTCGCTCTGTCCCTTAATGTACTTTCCAACAAGTCATTTTAATGCCATTGAGCAGAGCATAACAATATTAACCAGTTCACCTCCCACACCTATATACTTCTTGTGGACAGGATACATTTTTACATTTCCACTATGAGGTCTTTTGATTTTGCACTGCCTCTTGTCTTGTAAAAACATTTTTTTATTATTAAATTGCAATTTATAGGCAAAGAGATTTAACAAAAAATAAACTTCTTCTTTTCTAGTTTGACCTTTTATAATGACACTTTAAATGACATTTCTGGTACAAAGCTGATCTTTTTTACAAAGTAGAAGAGCTATCATTTTTATAAATTTGTTTTCCCTGTACGATTGCTCTAACTTAGGGGTGCCCACAAGGTCGATCGCGATCTACCAGTCGATCGCCATGTCCTCTCCCGCCGCTTCTCTCTCCTGTCCTCTCCTCCCGCCGCTTCTCTGGATCCCCGAAAGTTGTTGAAGTGAAGGAACCGGCGGCGGGGGAGGGCGGAGGACAGAGCCGCTGTCACAGACACACCCCCCCGCGGCTGAAGAGCTTTGACTTCTCGTCGGAACCCCCAGCTGCCTCTGCCCGGGAGAGCAGGGGGGATGCAGAGGAGAAGCTGAGCCCATTTGTGCGTGGCCGAGCAGCAGAGGATCGGTACATGTCAGTAGTATGTACCAATCCTCTGTGCAGGACAAACACTGGAGCGATCGTCTGATCACTCCAGTGTTTGTAAATAACTGGGGACACATAGTACTAACTGCTTGCAGTATTTTTGCGGATCGCACTGGACTGGAACACAGTCACTAATACAGGCGATCGCACTGTGGGCGAGGGGCCTGGCTGCGGTGCCATTGACTTCAATGCACCGCCACGCCCCCTCCCGCCCCTGAATGCAGGTGTTTTTTCGTTGGTAGATCTCAATGAGCTCGTCATTTGAAAAGTAGATCTCCAGACGAAAAATAGTGGGCGCCCCTGCTCTAACTGATGCCATATGCAGATCAAAGGTCACTCCTTTCAATGTAACAATAATGTTGATACATTGTATCTCTATTAGGTTCCATTCACATCAAGCCAGTCCGTTGCGGTTTGTTTAACAAGGGCTCTGTTAGGCTAGGTTCACACCATGGCAATTCAGATGCCAAGCTGTTTTCGCGATTGTTGCAGGTTTTTAAATGCATAGAGATGTCTATGGGACCCAAACCACGCGACAAGCACCCGAAAATAGTTCCTGCGCCTTTTCTTGCGACAGGCGATTTCAGTCGCGCCACAAACCGCAAAGGTGTGAGCAGCCTCTTGAGTTCAATGCACATCTGTGTTTTGGTGATAAATCGCCTAGGTGTGCACCTTAATGCAGTCCATAAATTTGAATGGGCTGCCAACACACCACAAAGGATGAGAAATCGGAGATGTAGTGCAATGTACAGTAATGTGTTAGCTACATTGATGTGCATTGCAACACAAAGGTGTGAATAGGCATCAGACTCTACCTGAAAGTGTAATTTTGCCCAGGACCCACGCAGCTCCTGCTGTGATACACAGCAAGTCACAGGTGTCATTTCATGAGGTGGTGCTATAGGGGAGGAGGGCCTAAGAGAGACGCCCTAGGAAAGTTGTTGAAAGTTTATTTTAGGGCTTGTCTCCACCCAAGGTCCGGAACTAATTAAGATGTCAGACGGGAGCAGGTTAGTGTTTCTTGATAAATAAATGTGGCTTTGTTTTGGATGAAATGCTATCATTGGTCAGGTATTTACAGCTCTATGGGACCACTGCAACCTATTGCACAGCTGTTACAATTCAAGCGTCACTGATAAATTGATTGCCACTAGCTTATATGCTTTTTTTCCCTCTGTTTTCTAGTGTTTTCTTCACATGTATACAATGTATTGCTGAGCTGTTTTTTTTGCTTTTTTTTAGGGGGAGCACTGTAATTTCAGCCATGATGTGGACGTTCCAAGGCGCCGTGGACTTTGCAAGTTCTATGTCACAGGTTACTGTGCTAGAGCTGACAATTGCCCCTACATGCACAATATCCTTTTCAAGTTGTTCTAATTAGTTGTTTATAATTCTATAGTTGTTTATAATTCTACCTCTGGCATGGAGACTCTTGTTTGTAAAGGGTTTTTGCTAGACATAGAACATGCCACAAGTGCAATAGGACCACGTAATTGAAGTTGTACATCTGTGGCTGTAGGACACCGAAACATGATTTACAACCTACACTTATCTCTATTGAACCACACTTTATGGAATTACTCTTTTATATGTACTGCTGATTTTACAGAAAGAAGCACACACATTCTCTCCTGATGAGTGAATGGTTTCCTTTAAACTGTGTAAGGAATCAAGTTGTATATAGTAATTTTTTGATATCAGACTGCCATGCAATGAGTTGGGTTTCCTTAATCATTCTCACGTGATTTTCCTTGTAAGCTATATCACACCACAGGCAGTTGCGTCAATGGCGAAGAGTGCATGTTCTCCCACGAGCAACTAACAGAAGAGACACAGGAGTTGCTTGATAAGGTAGCAAGTACATATTTGCTCTTTTGAGGGCTTGTTCACACCAAATTCGGACCAGATCTGGATGAGTTTCTGCATATGCATTGCAGTGCGTTTTTATGTGTTTCTTATGCGTTCCGGTTCGGGTTTTTTTTTTCTTGCCTAAAATGGGCTTTCAAGTGTAGTCCAGCATGTCCCAGAGCGTTTGCATGCGTTTTTGGTGCGTTCCAGAGCAGAAAAATAGTGAACTAGAGCCTAAAATACCATTGGAATACATTGGATGCATTTTTGATGCTTTCTTAAACTGCTCTGCTCTGCATCTGCTCCGCACTTGGTGTGAAGAATTCCTTAAGGTGATTTTTTAAACAAAAGGCAACACCATTGACAAGTATGCATAATCCACCACTCTATAACCACTTCATAGGTTTATGAGAGTAATTGTTTTATTCAGTAAGCAAAAAGCCAAACAAGTTTCTGCTTTTAGCAAATAAATACTGGTTAGGTGTCTATGTAGAATTAGGGCCCTGGGTTAACCCCAATCAAGGACACTATATAGGCTTGGTTTGGGCCTCTCATGTTTGTGGATTTCCTCTGTTGCCTCAAGTTGAGAAGTTTGAATGTTTTTCTTAGTAGTCGTCCCCCTCCCCCCCCTTTCTCTTCGACATCTTATTATGTCTGCATTTCTGAATTAGAAGAATAAATCTCATCTGTGCAACCTTTTGCATTGCTGTTTGTAAGCTGTGCTGTCATTGTGATATAGAGGAGGCCTGCTCTGCTCTGGCATCATTTTGTAAGGGTGAAAAATCATATTTTAAAATAGTGGTACTGACAGATATTGCTGATGCACAGTAGGGGCATGTGCATTGCTTGGCTCATGACAGGGCAGAGTTATGAAATTCCCACTTTTCTGCATCTGAGGTTTAGTTTTCTTTTACAGTTTTAATGGCTAAGGGGCAATATTTGTTTAACCCTTTCGCTGCCAAGCCCTCGAACATTTTTCAAATCAGCTGGCCAAGCCATTTTTGAATTTTCTGCAATTTTTTCCTATTGATTTGATTTTCAACTGCTGCGTTGCTAGCGTTTGTAAAAGACCCCCCAAACCATATATTTTCTGAAAGCGCAGGCCCGGTAGAATAAAAAGATGGTGATACTAAATTTGTAGGCCCTGCGATAATTGCGCAAATGTTTCTCAAATTAATATTAAACAGCTTCTCCTATTTAAAACATAGTGGCTGATATGCTGACTTCTTCTGCAAATGCTAGTTCCCTGACTGTCTTGGTGTTCATTTTTCTTCAAAACTTTGAGTACCTAACTCAGAGCAAATATACAGATGAGGACTTCTGACTTTTCTGGTCTCAATGATTGTTCCAGGTCAATGACTAAGAAGTATTGAAGCCAGCGAATTAGCAATGCCCCCCCCCCCCCAACCTGCATCTCGAAGCACA